CGGGGCATGCACAGGGGTCCCTTGGGCGATGCCATGAGCACACAGGCAGAGCAGATGCCACCAGGACCTTGAGCCAAGACAAGCCATCCCGGAGCCAGGGTGGGCTGCCTGGGGCACACAGCCCACTCCTCCTGCTCACCAGCTGCCACCCTGGCACACAGCTGGCAGGGGGACACCCACGCAGGTTATTGCTGTTAACCCAGCGCAGACAAGGGATGGTGACACTGCTCCTTGCGATACAGGGGCTGTTCCTCTGTTGTATCCCTTTGTGCTGGGTAACAAAGGGAGAGGCAATACCTGCAAGTGGTTTCCTGCAGCACAACTCAGGCTTTGTCCGACTGCTGTCCCTGCCTCCCCAGGGCTGCTGGGGAGGTTTGGGACCTCCATGGGGATTAGCCACAGGCTAATCACCTCCATGGGCTGTCCCTGTTCCAGGCAGGCTTGTACAGGGCACCATGGCAGCTCATCTGCCCCCACAGCAGCAGAGATGGACATCAGTGTCCCACAGGGACACAGGGGGGCTCAGGCCCCCGCCAGGCCCACAGGACCTCCCTGCTCACACCTCTGCACACCAGGGCATACACCATCAGCACAGCCATCCATCACCAGCAGCAAGGCAGCCCTGCCCACAGTGGGGTGAGGGACCTGCCCCACGCTCAGCCCCACGCCATGGGCAGCTCGAGCAGCTCACACACAGCCAAACACAGCTACAACAGGCAGTGCCAGCATGAGCAACAACTTTGGACTTCAGCTTCCTACATGTAAACAGAGACTCCCCTTTCCTGCTCACTGCTTCCTTCAGCCATGCAGGCAGATAACATTGTCTGGCTGTGGAAAACAAGCTATCTTCGTCCCCTGTAGAAACAAAAATCCTCCTATTGCAGCTTGAGTGATGCCAGCCACCCTTCTCCTGCAAAGGCTGCCCTCAGGGGTCCCTGCAGTATCCCATAGCCACCCCAACAAGCTGCACAACACACCACCACTCCACCCTTATAGCTAATCCCTGCATACCCCCGCCCCAGCCCAGTTTACATGAAGCCAACTAAATCAGGCACAGCTGAGACAGATCCACATACTGCTGGAGCTGGTTTTTCCCCAGCTGTTTTGGCCAGCCCAGGACCAGCAAAGCCTTGGTGCTGCCCAAAGCACACGGGCTCTCCAAGCTTCCTTGGTGCTGGTTGTTGCAGGTGAGCTGCAGCACAAACACACCAGTTTATTTTTTGATTTAATAACTGCTGCCAAAAGCTGTCCTGACCCTGGGACTGGGAGGAGAGCACCTCTCGGGCTTCGGGGCTGCAAGTGTAGTATCTTCAAAAACCGCCACGTATTTTGTCCCTTCCCTGGCCAGTGCGCTCCAGGGCTCCCCACGCGTTTGGATAAGGCTAAAGCATTTTGGAGACTAAACAGACGGAAGCTGAAGACAGCAGTTTAGGGATGGAAACCCCCTGGGAACAGGAGAGCGGGTGCTCCTGGGGCTGCATGGCCCCATCCCGGCTCTGGGGTCACACATGGATGCGAGAGCTGTGGCTTTCCTTTCAGAGGAACAGAAATGCTTCATCGCTACCGATAAAAGCCTGGAAATGCCACGAAATGCACCCTGGAGTGTTTGAAAGCCCAGAAGAGGCAAAGGCTCCTCCATGTGTGACTTTGTGCTGTTGATGATGTTGATGGCAATGCTGGATTTCAGTGTTGGCATTAAGGGATGTGCAGCACTGGAGAAAACACTGCTGTTTGGGCTGTAATATGTCCGATCTCAGATTCTCCCAATTAAGCACATTCTCTGCTAAAAAAATGTAGCCACACCATTCCTGATGTTTCTGGGATTTTTGCACAGATTTTTTAAAAACGGAGCCCAAATCTGGCTTTCCTATAATTTCACAGGTCCTTCTCGCTCAGCCCCTCTCTGTCCACGCATCCCTTTACGAGGCAGAGAGTACGAGGGATGGCTCGCAGAGGGATGGCCGGTGCCGGGAGCGTGTCCGGAGCAGATGGAGCAGAAGCATGGTCCATGTTGGACCACAAATGGGGACTTAATTTCACTGAACTGCTTTCCTGCAGAACTGCACTGTCCGAGCAAGATTGGATTTTGCTCGTGATGACGGAGCTCAACCCATTATTACTGACTTAAAATACACATTTTCGATGTGGTGTCCTCTCCCCTTCAGCTGAAGTCTGGACCAAATCTTTCTGTCGCCATGGTTTGGGGAGCAAATCATTGTCTTCTCGAGCCTCAGCCCGAGCACCAGCACACAAGCTCTCCTTCGCCCACTCTCCATGGATATTTATAGCACAAAACCTTTGCAGTGCTGGGGAAAGGCTGGTTCCCAGTGGCGACATTTTCGATGTGGTCTCCTCTCCCCTTCAGCTGAAGTCTGGACCAAATCTTTCTGTCGCCATGGTTTGGGGAGCAAATCATTGTCTTCTCGAGCCTCAGCCCGAGCACCAGCACACAAGCTCTCCTTCGCCCACTCTCCATGGATATTTATAGCACAAAACCTTTGCAGTGCTGGGGAAAGGCTGGTTCCCAGTGGCCGAGGCTCCAGAATTTGGGATCCTGCCCCAGCTCTGCTGCAGCTTGGGGTGGGGGGACAGGCTCAGGGAGGACGGGGGAACAAAACGCAGCCGTGCCCCATCTTTCCAGCCCACGCAGCCTTGCAGAAGCGGTTGCACATCCCCTTGATCGCTACGTAAATGCACGAGGAACCAGCATTTCTGATGTGCAGGCAGAGGAACATATGGCCCAGCATATGAAAATGCATTGTCACTCGAAGCATAAAGCAGAGGGGTTTCTGGTGAACATTTCTGAGCAGAACAGAGGGCAGAAATGTAAAAAAATAAAAAAGATGGCAGCAAATCAAATCCTGAGTAGATCTGCAATATCTAGGTTACCTTAATTATGTTCAGCTAAATATGGATGCCAATTAATTAGAGGGCTGCTGATTTCCAAAGAAAATTAGTTTACTTTTAATGAGCTAATCAGTCCCTATTTAAAAAAAAAAAAAATTATTAGCTTGTACAAAGGCGTGTGCAGCCACTTGACACGGAGTGCCGAGGTCTGCTCTGGCTGGGATTTATTTGGTGCAATATTGACAGGATTTCCGCACGGGGCTGACGATCCCTTTGGAACAGGTTGCAAATGGCATCGTGCTCCCCCTGCTCTTATCCCACTGGGACTGGGCTATGTTTGCCAGAAAAAAAAGGTAATTTGCTGGCAACACCAGGTTATTAGCCCAGGATTTAGGACCACGAGCAAGTGGCGTGTGGACGGGCATCCTCCCAGCTTGGGCTCGGTGGCATGGGGAGGGAGGCAGAGATGGGGCTGGAGTGCTCCAAGTGCTCAGACAAAGCTCCTGTTTTTTCGAATATTAATAAGAGTCAAGCTGTGCGCTGCAATTAAAATGCTAATTATAATTTCTTCCATCTGTAGCTGACTCTACTCCAGAAATTAAAGAGAAATTCAGAAGAGATGTGAATGTTACATGTCTAGAGAAGTGTCTAAGAGGAATGCCAGGGCGTGGGGAGACAGGGTGCGGAGGGGCTCAGAGGGGAGGGCTCCTCCATCCCACCGCGGCCGGCTCTGCCAGCTTCCCCTCCTGGCTGGAAATCCCAGCAGGTTTGGCACTGCCACTTTGCTGTCTGGGAGCCTGAGAGACAACCATCTTCTCCCCATGCATGTCATATGTCTTTATACGCGGTGTGTCTTCAAGTTACATGGGGTAGGTGCATCCTTAAGGGGAGTGAGTGCAGCTCCTCCGATGTCAAAAATGCTCCCGAGAACGAGTGACTCAGTCCTGTGTCCCCTCCTGCAGCCCAAGAGCCGTGGGCTGAGGGCAGGATGCCCGGGGATGGGATGCGGGTACCAGCTCGGAGCTGCCGGTCCACACACTGGAGCACTGGCAGGAGAGCAGCAGCATCAGTGCAACCGTGGTACAGTGCCCTGCGCTCAAGTTTCGGGAGCAAAGCAAAGGTAATATTTATTTCATGTTCAAGGTCGCTGCTGCCCGACTTTTCCTCCAAGAGACGCAGCTCTGCGTCTGTCACGGGGACAAGGCTCAGCCAGGAGCTACCGCTCCCGCCAAGCACCGCTTTCTGCACACCAAGTGCGGTCCCGTGGGACAGTTTCTGAAGTATCAGCTGAATTTCTGGGAATTTAAAATGTAATGAGCAAGAGATGTGCAGATTTATGTGGATACTCATGCAAAGAGCTGGGGAAAGTCTTAGCTGGGGAAGCAAAAGCACAGCACGGTGGGGAGAAAGGATACGTGCTGCAAACAGGATTGATAGTGCAGAGGTGTATGTGCCACTTCTCCCGTGCAAAGTGCTTTAGATGGGTACAGCTGCAAACCGAAGCCCAGAGCCCTCTGCACAGCACACGGCTTCTGGGCATCGGCTGCTCGTAAGGGGCTACGGCTTGGTGATGGAGTCTTAAAAATAAATCCTGCGTGAGGTGGCATCTGCTGCAGTGCAGAAAGCAAAAGCCCCTGGGGTTTTGCAACAGGAAAACTGCGTGCGCAGCTGTGCTCTCCCTCTCAGGCTGTCCAGGGCGTGAAATCTGAGGGCTGAGATTATATGGACAAGCTCAAATAAAGGGCAAGGACTGCTACCTGCTCAGCAGGACAAGGGGCTCCAGGGGGACTCCCCTGCATTCTGGGAGCTGTGTTGGTGAAACACTGGGGACAGAAACCCGAGTGACCTCTGCTGCTGCGAAGGGGCAGGTTGGAGATGTGCTCAGCGCCCACCCTGCCAGCATGAGCTCACTGAGAGATGCCAAAAATGCTTTTAATAAATGTTTCATTTTCTTCCTAAAGAAAAAACTCAATTCACTAAGGCAGCTGTAAATCCTCCCTTCTCCGCACAAGAAAACCGCAGTAAAGGACAGCAGAGACTTTGACACATCCCGCTGCAGGAGGAGATTCCCGGGATGGAGCGTGCATCCGCACACCTGCGCTTAGGGACCGGCTCCAGATCGGAGTCACCTCCGCCGGGGCCAAACCTCTTACCTGCTCAAGGGGGATGACGAGGAAGGAGCCCCCACCGGCGCTCTCTGTCACGATGGCGAGGAAGCGGGCGTTGACGGCGCAGAAATGGTTGTCATGGACGTTCTTGGTGATGGGGATGCCATCAAAGCAGTGCTCCCGGCTCGCCACCTTCCCGTAGACGTTCCGAAACTTGGAGCTGCGGTACTGCGGGCGCCATGACATCTGCGGGGCAAACGCAGAAGGCTTAGCCTTCCGAAAATACCCCACCCAGGCTGTTTCCCAGTTGCTTTCCAGTTTCCAACCTGTGCTGCAACAGGGATTTTGCCTGACGAGGCACAGCAGTATTGTGGCAGCTCAGATCTGCAAATATAATGCCCTTGAAAAAATGTAAGATGTCTCCCTGGTGCAAGGTACAATTCACAAAAGGCATTAAAAGGCTCTCTACTGTTGCAAAATTTAAGCTGATCTCCTTTTCAGCATGAACTGCTTATCTAGAACACACAGCACTACTACTTCATGTGCATATGACAAATGAATTAAGGCTTTTAATGTGATGACTTGGAAATGGATTGGTCTGGACCACATGAAAGCATGCATCAGGGCAGAATAAGAGCACTTAGGCAGGGAGTGAGCATCGGAGAGCTGGTACATGTTGTGTTCAGCTGTCTCAGCTTATTTTGCACGGGTCTCCCCACGTGGGCTAACCCATAGCATCGCGGGAGCGCTTGCTGCAGGCTGGCTGCCATTGCTCCCAACAGTGAGATGCTCCCAGGGATTCCACCAGCTGATCCCGGCAGACCAGGGATCCCAAGGACCCACTAGCTCACCCTGCTTCCCCATAGCTGCAGATGCATGCACAGGAATGAGTGCGCTTTCGCTTGTCCTCATTACTTTGCTTTTTCTAAGTAAAAAGAAGACTGCTTTTTTCATTTCAGTCTTCTTTTGAACATTTCTTATGGTAGCACAAGTGTTCATGATAAAATCTATAAAGATTTAAGGCACTTTGAGTGTGCAGAAGAGCATAAGCGTTTAAGCCACCTTAGAGCAACATAAGTACTCGGCTCTACCCAAACACACGGTAATTGCATGCCTGAGGACTCGTAGCCGCTCGCATCTTCATAACCAGCATCTATTGACAAAAGCGTGTTGTACTGAAACACTGGGCCATCTGCTGAGAGCATCTCTAAGGGTGGGGCAACACCAGAGAAATGCTCCGGTGGCTGCTCTAACCCTGAATAACTCCGACTGCGTCCCTGCTTCACCCCAAACTCAACACCACGGGCACACAGTTGGGAGCACCGTGTGTCTGAGCAGCATCTCCTGAATTTGAAAGGGGAATGCTTTAAGACTGGAAACAGTAGTGTTTCCATCTCTAACTCTTACGAGCAAGCCCAACAGCAGGATTAACTCATGGCTATGGGGCAAAAGGCAGAGTGAGGAGCAGCAGAGGGTAATAGCCTGCACCGTGCATTATAGGGCTGATGTCAAGGGACATGTTGCAATGACCTCGTGCGAGCAGAGCCTCGCTGTGCCGATATTCCTCGCAGCATCTGACACCCTGCCTGCAGGAAACCTGTGTGAGGGAGGCTGCGGGGCTGCCTGCAGACCCCACCGCCCGATCCCACTGCACTGCCTTGACCCCGTATCCACCCATCACACCCAAAATCCCAGCTGTATTTTCCATCCCACCAGCAGCACACATGCTGGGAGCATCCTTCCGAGGATGCATGGCAGCACCAGGGCTGCATGTTTGCCATGGAGGCGATGCTGTCAGCAATCCCCAGGCTGCAAGGAAAAAGGACACAGATCCTTGAGGATTTAACCCGAAACGAGAGCAGAGAGGCATTTTTGGCTGGAAAGGTTTCTGCTCTGAAAAAATGCAGACTCACGTCCAACAAAGCGCTGTGAATCTTTGCCAAACCTACCCAAGCGGTCAGAGCCAGGCAGGGCAAGGAAAAACACCCCGACCGCAGCCTGAGGAGTGGCTTTCAAGCGTTTCACTAAATCTTACATTTTCTTTTGTCTGAACAGATGAGTTTTCATATTGAAATTAAATTTTTTATAATGTTAAAAAAGCACAAAAATGTACTTTGGTATTTTTTAAGCTCTCAATTTGCTCCACGATCCCAGGACTTTGCTCTCATTTCTGCCATCCCTATGCCTCTGCTCCAAACCTATTGCAGAAAAGCCCCAAATTCTACCAGAAGGGCCATTTGCTCAGTCCTTCCCCCACTAAACTTTTCAGATGCCTTGTAGCGTATCCCCACACAGGAGAAAACCCACGGACCCCCCCCCGGAAACCCCTCCTGCCACACGGGGGTAGCAGAAAAGGGGCTCCCAATATTTTGTGCATCCAGAAATTCAACTTAACAAGTTGCTGCCAAACGAAATGCCAGCACAAACGAGCTCCAAGCAGCCCAGAGATGTGTTTTTACCCTTAACGTGGATCCTCACACGGGTGCTATGGATGCTCCCCACCTGCTGCGGTTCCCAGCCGCGAGAGCCATGCTGCTTGCAGGACCTCAGCACTTTCGCATCTCTTTTTTTTTCCCAGCCCTCCCTGTTTTATTCTTTCACCAAAAACTGGGCAAGTCTCCACTCAGCCCCCGCCACCCCGGGAGGAAGCAATAAGCTCAAGTGCCCGTTTTGTTGGAGAAATCCAGAGTTTCTTTCCTTTAACCTCAGTCAGTATTTCCTGTAAACAGTGTCACATCGCCCCGCGGCCCCAGGGATGCAGACAGCCCGGAAACACCGGCAAAATCCCTGGCAAGGGGCTCAGGACTGCCCAGAGCTGGCATTGTGCGGCAGGCGGCTCCCAGCCGGGCCCTTTCCTGCAGATTTCTGGTTTTGGCAGCCGGCGGAGGCTTTCCCGCGCCAGAAATAGCTCCCAGGCCGCGTGGGAGAGCTGGGGACCTGGAGGGGCTCGGGGGGGTCCCAGCCCCACCAGCCGGAAAAAAAAACGTGGGAGAGCTGGGGACCTAGAGGGGCTCGCGGGGGTCCCCTGCCCCACAGCTGCAGGGAGCATCAGCCTTCGGATGGAGCTCTGCGCCGGGTGCTGTGGTGCGGGAGGAGGGGGGAAAAGCAGCTGATGGGACACTTATGCATCAGTGTTGATTCTGGTTTGAAAAATAAAAAGCTCAGCATCCTTTGCCCCTTTGTCTGGCGCCGAAGCAGGCTGCTCCTGCCGGCATTGTGTCCCATTGTTGGAGCAAGGTGCTCAAGAGGGGGACGGGCAGGAAAAGTCCACTTTCAAAACACCTTCACGTCTGGTCCTTCAGCAGATGGCTTCGGCAGAGGTTGTGTTCTCTTGCTGGAAAGTGTCCCGGAGAAAGCAGTGTCTTGCTCTGCCGTGCTGTTTACAGCTCCGGGTTTGGCATGTGGAGGTGCTGCCGGCACCGGAGGGATCTGCCCACCCTGGGCTGCCACGCTCTGCCCAAACCCCTTTCCCCGTGGAGCCCACTGGGCTCCAGGAGGCATTGCCTACAAATAAAAACCTAGAAATACCTTCTGGCTGAGGAAAATATCGCTGGTTTCTATTGCATTATCCCATTTGGGGTGTTTTTGTGAGTGATGTTTCAGTTCTGGATTGATGAAAACTTTGCGTTTCCAAGCAGATGCCAGCTTTATTTTTCCATTTAATTTTATTATGTATTCCTCCATTTATTTTTCCCCACTATATATACTTAAACCTTCTCTTTGAAGCTAGTGTCATCTCATGGGGCTTCCAAGCATCCAGGGGATGGGGGAAGGAGCAGGAGCCCTTTGGTTTCTGCTGGCAGCCCGCAGGGGGCGG